GTAAAATAGTTGTAAAATGAATAATAAGATATTCTTTTTTTTTCAAAATAACTAATTATATATTTGTTTTTTATCTTTTAAAATTATTTTATTAGATTTATTTTACTAAAATCCTTAAATGGCAAATAAAATCTTTTAAATAAAGTAAAAGAATTTGGGATTCTCTTATGAAAGCATTTTTTGGTAAGAAATAAAATTTTCAGATCGGACTTTATGCAGGTGACAAAATCGTGCATTATTATTCCTGGAGATATGCTAACGTCATCATTTTACATTCATTTGAAAGCTGAGAATTTGCTCTATCGTAAGAATCAAAGATCAGGAAAATTGAATCACTGGATGAGGCGTAATTAACGATCAAAGTTAAATCAAATTTAAAAATTAAAAATAAATATATTAGACGCAATTATTCACAATCCAGTGATTCAATTCATTCGATTTTAGGCTTATTAGATAGACCTCAATTTTCTCTTTCAAATGAATATAATTTTATTCGTGTAGCTTGCATCTACAGGTATTTAATAAATTTTTTTATATCAGATTTTATCAAACTTATAAAATTTTATATTAATAATATAATTGATGATTCCTAAACATCTACATATATTAAACGAATTATTTTAAGTTTATTTTAAAGATAAAAGTTGGCATCACCTTAGGGAGCAAAGATCATTCAAATTGAATCACTATATGTGAAGTAATTAATGATCAAATTTAGATAAAATTCAATAATATACTGAACGTGATTACTAAACAACTAGTGATTCAATTCACTTGATTTTAGATTCATTAGATAGATCTCGATTTTCTCTTTCAAATGAATGTAAATTTATTTGTATAGCTTATTTCTACGGAGAATTATCAATGATTTTGTCATGAGAGTTATATTTGATCTTTTAAATTTTAATGATATCTTATATTAAAAAAAAATTAAAAATTATATAATTAATTAGTTTTTTTTGCATTATTTTGTATAAATTTATTATTCTTATATAAATGATAATTTATATTTGCTTTAATAAAATTATTTTTGTATAAAAAAATTAGATTCCAAGGATCAGCCCATATGGTATCAACTATTCCAGAACTAACAATATTATTAATTTGTTTATCGTTCATAATTCGGCGCATGAGCTCTGGTTCAATTTTCCGATGGCTATTAGGCAAAGAACCTAAAAAATAAATAAAGGAATGGAATTTAAAATTAATTTTAGAAGAAAAAGGATATTTTTAGAAGTCGGCATCTTACCTAGCACGCCATTCATGCGCTCAAACGAAAAACACCAAAAAGCGTAAAGAGGCCCAAAATTTTTTGCACATTTGTATAAATGGAGCGAAAGGTGAAGGTTCAGAGTTATCATATCTTGACCGTAATTTTGCTCAATTATTTTTACGATTTCAACCAATTTTTGGTGAGCTTCATCCATTAAATTGGATTAAACAATTCATCCTACCAAAATCGAGCAAATTCTTACAAAGCGTGTAAGAATCTTCTTATCTACGCCAGGAAGGTGTTTCCAAAGTAACACTGTGGCATAAATGTTAAAAAATATTCGCTACTGATCGGCCATAAAATTTGCAAAACCTTCGCCACATTCTACCTTTCCCGGGATCCTACCTATATCAGCTGGTACTTAGAATTGATTCATTTTCTTTTGAATTTCTTTTAGAGTTTCCGGTTTTAATATATTTTCATCAACCCAAATCTGCTTAACAATCCACTTTGCAATGCCTAAAAATAGGCAGTGCATTGGATCAATTGATAAAAACTGAATTGGGTCGAAATATGGCAATCTCAGCAATTCAGACCACCTTACGCCAGTAGTTTTTACAAAGCGATTCCTTGCAGCATTTGAATTGCAGTGACGCCATCCAAGAGCATTCTCGCGAAATTATGCTGAATCTCGATTAATGAACCATTCACTCATATTATCCATTCCAGCGAAATTATGTTTATGATTTTCGTAATTTGCTTTCTTCTCACATCTATAACACGATGAAAGGGCTGAAATATGCCCACATATTTTTCTTGCCACGGGAATGTTGCACAAAATGAGTATCAGTGCCGCTCGAATTTTTCTTGATTCTTAGTACTCAAAAGTGTTATCAAACGTCACTCTGTCCCAAAGTAACACTAATTCATTGACAATTGGCGCCAAATAATGGTTAATTTGGTGGAGACTCACTTCGTTTGGGCTGGACAACAAACTAAGAACTAACATATTTTCACGTTTAAACTGCATATCCCGTGGTAGATTACAAATTGCGGCATATATTACTCCAGTACTATGGACAACACCATCATATGGTTGAAACCAGTCGAGATTTAACATTAAACCAAAATTAGAATCAGCCACTTCAGGTTGAAAAAATTTCGACAAATTTTCATCGCTTGTTTCTTTAAAATTTTTCCAGACCTGACTGTCATAGATATCAGTTAAAATATCATCAAATCGTTTGCGTTCAGACCAGTGACGTAAGTTTCTTTTGAATTCCGGCTGGCAATATATTGATGCTAATTGATTTCTGATACTAGCAAATGGAAATATCTTCTCAGATCGAATTTTAATACGGCCATGTAATAACGTTGATCTTTCTGCTAAAGACGTCTGGCATTGTTTTAATTTCCTGGATGTCGAATTAGGAAATTTGACATGACTACACTTCATAACTGTAAGATTTCCATTTTGCTGAAATTCTTCTACTTCCTTTTTATTATATAATTTGTGGCATTTCAGACATGCCGCAAAGTTATGACTTATGATTTTGATCTTTTAGCCCAAGAACATTTCTTGCTAAGTATAAAGAGCCAGGAAATTCTTCAAAATTAGAACCGCCGATTTCTATCAATAACAGCTTTATGAATTGAATAAGCGCTTCTGTTACTGTTTCTGGAATATTAAATTTTTTGCGAAAGCTCATTATCTACAGCAAAATCCACAAAAATTGTCTATTGGAATTTGTGTCTGGACTAATTCGATCTTGAAATTGCTCATAAACAGGTGGTGCATAATTCTCAAAAATTTCAGTATACTCATAATCATTATTATCGCCATTATTGATTTCACTTTCATTTGATTCTTCATCAGTTTCGCTTGATTCTTTATCAGTTATGAATAATTCTGGAAGAATTTCTTCTTCGGTAATTGTTGCTTGTTGATTTGCGTATCTTCTTGAACGTTGTTGATAAAGTAAATCAGTTGATAAGTCATCTATTTCCTCCATTTCCATTCGTTGAATTACATTTTGATTATTATCTGAATCTTCGTCAGACGATACCGGGTTATCTTCTGGTAAAGGATTATCATAATCTTCAGATGATGATGGTAAAGGATTACTATAATTTTCAAATGATGATGGTAAAGGATTACTATAATCTTGAACAACTTCCAAATCTTGGTCATCATCCGAATCTCGATCAGCCTCATGGTTCAATTTTGTACAAACATCTACTATTTTTCCGTTACATTTAGAACAATTGCAAGGAACCATTCTTCTGTCATGTGTATGTATAATTGAAATTGATTCTTCAGATTCTTCATCAATTACTCTAGAGATCGCTCTACTTTTACGAGAAGAGCGAGCTGTAATTGATTCTTCATCATTGCTAAGT